CTGAGTTGAATGTCTAAGGATGAATAAATAATCATTCCTAAGCACGCGAGAGTAAAACTGGCTATGAATCCTCCTCCCCGGATATATGGGGTTTATACCATGAGACCTTCACATTGTTTGGTAAAATTTTTATGGCTATTCTGCTTCCTAATGGGAGTGAAATGAAACTAACATGAGCCCAGGAAAGGAAGTCATCCTAACATTTGACAAATCTTTAACAGAAGACAATGTGTGTTTCATCCTCCGAGACAATGGACCCTTGGGATGGACATTTGTGTTTGGCACACAGCCTGACACATCTGAAGCATCTACATGTTTGCTGCATTAAAATCTTCAAAGTGCAGCAAAGTCTAAAAGTATACACAGTTCTCTAGCATTTTAACTTGTTGTTTCTAAGGAGGACATAGATTTGTTCCACAACAAAAAGAAAGGTGATATCACAGAGGAAGGCCAAACTGTGGACCGCAGTGCATGACCTCACTTCCTTGGTGATAGGTCCAAACAGAACCCTGAAGGCTCAGGTCACCAGGCACCTTGGTCTGGTGACAGTTGGTCTTCACAGACAGTTGGCTCAAGACAGTGAACAGGGAGCAGGTTAGGCTGCTTTCCCAGGACATGAGACCCCAGCCTCAGGATCCCGCATAGGTAGACAATGTGGAAATGGCTGAAAAAATGGTTCACTCATCCCAGAGCCTTCAGGATGATTGAGGGCAAATGCCAAATGACAAGGGAATTAAAGTACAGGGCTCACTGTCCCCAGCCTTCTGGCATCCAGAGGCAGGAGAGAGACCAGGACAGGTGTCACTAGACTCAGCCACAAGCCACTCAGAATCACTGAGTCCAGCAGAGTAACCTTAAGGCCTGACTACCACTGTGAATCCCCCTACACAATTCCTGCCCTAAGTCAAATGTGACTGGGTCTGACATGCCCTGAAGGCAGATCCTCGTGGGCTGGTAAAGGTCCTGGGAGGATGCAAGCCTGGGCCACTGTCAGGTTCCCACCCAAGACCGGGCTGGCAGAGCAGAAGAGCAGTACCCCTGTCTAATCCAGAGTCTCCAGATTCATCTTCTGTCTTCCTGGGTTGAAATATGGGACAGAGCTGTCTGTCTTACAGAAATATAAGATTATCTGTGTTCACAAAGTAAAACCTGTGTTGTCTCAGAGCCTCAGAGCTTCTGGCTTCCTGCCAGAAGCTGTGCTCTGCCTCAGCAGAGTGGCATATAGGACACCGGTCTAGAGGCGGTCACAAAGCTACGTGTTCCATGGACTTGCAGCAGACTCTAGGACCCACAACAGGTGCTGGCTCAGGCACAAAGTGTGTGTACAGAAAGTACTATAGAGACTCTCAGATGACAGAGAGTTATCTTTGGGTCAGTGCTACACTGTACTTAACTGTCAGCATTTGCATGAAACTCTAGCCAGAATTATTGATCCTCTGATTATCCATGGAAATTTTAAAAATGTTTTCTAAGGAAAGTAGAAAAAGAAACAGTTATGTACAGCTATGTTTCACTGCAGTACACTGACAGCTCTGAACCCAGTAGACAATGTCATGAGGATGGTGATATGCACATCACCACCTCAATAAGGCCAAAGTTTCTACAAATGCTGGAGGTAAAATAAGGAAATACTTTAACAACAAAAACAGTTGAAATAAAATATCCTGAATATGCACTTATTATACCAAATATAAACTAGGCATGGTGGCCCAGTACTTGAGACACTGAGGAAGGAGAATTGTTTGAGGCCACTCTGGGTTATAATGTGACCTCAAAGCCAGCCTGAACTTCATAGCAACATGCATTCTCAAAAAGATAAATACATCAAATCTAATGAATGTAATAGTGTACTAGTGATGGCCTTGTGATATTAGCATGACTATCATATTTATACTGACCTGTAGTCTACTGGAAAACCTAAGTCACAGCCAACTTCACAATCAAATATCACACCATTTATCAAATGGAGTACACTAGTGAGTATTTGTTGTTTGTCATTGGTATTTGGTGGTGATGGAACAGTGCTTGCTGCTGCTCTCCACAGAAAAATGACTATTGCTGCAGTAACAGGAATCTGCATGCATCACTGCAGTATGTCCTTAGCTCTTTGGGGAAGAGACCCACTAAAGGAAGCACTGCACTAATGAGAATTACTAATTTTAGTCTTTTGAATACTTTAAAAACTGAATTCAGTAGTAGTTGAACTACTTACCTACATTTCCACCAAAAAGATTAAATAATTCCTTTTCTCCTGTAGTCTCCTGAATGTTCTTTAGATTTTATGGTGATTGGTTCTCTCTGCAATGAAATGATGTCCCTATTTGCATTTCTCTATTGTGCAAAAATGCTCAATAGTTCTTCAAGTATTTCTTGGCAATTTGTACATATTCTGAAAAATGTGCATTCCTTTCATGTTCCTATTGGCTTTACATATCAGCTGTCAGGGAGTAATAGGCAAAATTTTTCTCATTCTGTAGTTTATTTCTTCATCCTTTTGTTTTGACTTTTTTGTGGCTTGTATGCTTATGCAGGAAGATTAAAATCTTACAAAGTCCTTTTTGCTTCTTTTGTCACCCTATCTTATTTTCTACACAAAACAGCAGGAATAGTATTTAAAAAAATATTTTTTAATACCTCTAGGCTAAACCATCTAGCAATTGCCTTCCAAAGTCAGCTTCAAAGCCATTATCATCCCATCTCATTCTCTCCTGATGCTTGAACTAAAGAAATCATCTTTAGCCTAATCTTTATAGGTAACTCCTTACCAATGCAATTATTGAAATACAAAATGATCCAAAATTGCATACTTTTTGTTAGTTTTTATAAAATAACAAGGAATATAAAAGTGACAATTCTACTGTATTCAATACAAGAATGAATGGTTTAAATTGACAACTGCCCAAATGATGCTCAGGATGGTCACTGCATAAACAAATGTGTTTCCCAAGAGATTCTCCGGGATAACTGCTACATGGCCAACCGATAAAAAGACAACTACTGATGTGCAATTGTGAGTATTAAAAAATGTTGATGCTGGGGAAGAAAAAGAGTAGATCTAAAGCATTAAGCAACATCTGCAGAACTTGAAGATATATTTTGAGACAAGGTCACTCTAATTGTGTAGGTTAGACTCAACTTCCTCTTCCACTAATTTAAGCCCACTGAGGTGCTAGGATTACAAGAATGCATCAACAGGACCAGCAAGATTTACTTTCATGGTAAAATGAGAAAGTGCATGTACTCAGGATATATGTCTTATAGATTCAGTATTCTATTATTAGCTGTAATACAAACTCCAAATATTCCCACTGATGGTAAGCAGAAATATGCTGCAGGGAATCTGGCCACATGCTGTAGTGCACAGAGGCTGACAATGTACTTCACAGTGTCTTTTACTTTGTGAAGTATATCAAGTTCTTCAGGTACAAAATAGATATAGTTTTAGTGGTGATTACATAAGAGGTGAGTTATTTATTTTCCCAAGGATAATTGAGACTTGGGCAAGTTATCTTCACTGGATTAGGGGTATTTACTGCAATGTTCACTTGTGTTTTCATGACACCACTGTTTTTAACAACATAATTCCTTTTTTTTTTTTTTTTTTTGGCTTTTTTGTTTTTATCGGTACCAGGGATCGAACTCACGACTGCCTGCTTGCAAGGCAGGTGCTTATGCCACTGAGCTAAATCCCCAGCCCAACAACATAATTCCTAAGCAGATTTTGTATTCAACAACACTGCATTAAACACACTACAAATTACATGAATGTTAAAATGGAAGTGAAAACCACAGGCCACAGGAAACCAACTGGGACTCATGGCCCACTTTATGTGTTTAAAGATAATCAGTACACACCACAAACATCATGCACTGGTCCTTATAAATAAGGTGATATGCCATTGTATAAATTCACAATTCAGTAAAACAGAACACAGTCTGAATCATAATTTAGCAAATTTACTTTTTACTGTGTTGACAGATCAAAATTTAGGTTTCCCTTCATGCCATTACTTCAGTATTTTAGGAAAAAACAGTAATAATTACAAAATATATAATGCATTCACAGCATCAAGGAATAAAATAAAGGCATTTGCATGATACATCCAATAACAACCTTTTCCACCAAAACAACTCCATATTTAAGAAAACCTGATTTCAAAGTATGGTTACTCATAAATCATGACAAATTTTATAATTTCTGGAGATACTGATATATATATGGTGAAGTGCTATTGGAAACAAGTTATGATTCTGTCAGTATGGCACAATCAGAAATTCACAGTAGTATGGTTTACATTTGGTACATGTGTGGGAAACCTTAATAGCAAATAAAGATGTAATATAAACATAACAAGTAAAATTCTGATGGTTAGAAAAACAAAGGTTTACTTAAATGACCAATATTGGCTCCACTGAGAAACAAAATCAGACAACATAATTTACATGATATGATATCCAGTGATGCTAGGAAATCAGCAGATGTCTTATCACAACTTGGAAAACATAACATTCATTAATGTACAAGTTATGTGAAAAGAACACAACTTTGTCAAAAACACGTACTTCAAGCCTCAACAAATGTATATCTTAATGCCAAATATTGCATCAACTTCAGAAAAATCATTTATGAAAGAGAAAATGAAGCATGTGCATCAAAAGATTAAAACAAAGCCATATTAAAATTACAATTCCCCCCAAAAAATAAGAGACTAGACTAATATCACTCTGAACAGTGAATAATAGTATTGCTCAATTTTATATCACAATTCTACATAAATAGCATTGGGTTTCTTAGTGTCACTTCTTCTTCAGAGTATCTCTTCATTACATTATGCATTATATTATTGGATCCAATAAATAGGTTATAAATTCTTCCCATGTGTGAATCTCTATGTGTATATCTATCCTTTCTGTGTTATGGGGAAAAACAGATCAAAATAAGACAACAAAACAAATTCCTAGAAAATCATGATATGAGAGAGACATATAAGGCCACAATATTAGGTGATATACAGTATTTATTATGCTTTCTCTTGTTATTTTCAATAGAATTGTCCACATCATCAGGGACTATATAATAAAGCATAACATTATATAGCTATTTTTATAAAAACACAACTTTGAAGACGTTGTAGGATGTGAAAGCAGTTAATAATCAAACCTGATGTAGAACCCGTGGTTTCCTGCCAGGACCAGCGAGTCAGGCCAAGGCACAGAATCCCATCCCAGTCTGGAGGAACTCTCTTCCTCACCTGGGGACCAGGTGGTTGCCCACTGGGAACAGTGAGTTGGGACCAGTGAGTCAGAACCAGGGAGTCAGGCCAAGGCACAGAATCCTTTTTCAGTCTGGGGAAACTCTCTTCCTCACCTGGGGATGAGCCCGCAGATTCTTGCTGGGACCAGCGAGTGGGGCAGAGGAACAGATTCCAATTCCAGTCTGGGGAAACTCCCTACCTTGCCAGCAAGTTCAGCCGAGGCCTGGAATCCCATCCAATCTGGGTGAACTTGCTCCCTCACTTGGAACAACACTTGAAGCTTGAAAATCAAGCAAAATGACAAAATGAAAGACCAAAATGCAATTTCAAACATCCATCCCATCCCAAAAAAGCCTAGGAGCCATGTGCATAGAAGAAAACACATTCCACATAACTGAAATACCTGAAATAATAGTACCTGAAATAAAGAAGCATCTTTGGGAAGCATTAAAGAAATTCAAACTAGAAATAATCTCGTAGGTAAAAAAAGAAATGTTAAAAGAAATAAAGGAGATTCTGAACATATCTAAAGAAGACACAGTTAAAAAATTGGAGGAACTAAACAAAAAGATAGAATCCCTGGATGAACTCTGTAAGAAACAAACAGAATACATAAAGTAGATGCAAAGTGATATACAGGAAATCAAAAACTCCACTGAAAGTTGTAAAAACTGTCTCAATGAATATGAAGATAGAATCTCAGACCTCAAAGACAAGATTACAGCCAGTGAACAGGAAAGGTAATATCTTTTAAAAATAACAAGATATCAGGAAATAACTATTGAACACCTGCAAGATGATGCAAAGCAGAACAACATAAGGTTGATAGGGATAAATGTAAAAGAAGGGGACAACATAAAGGATGTCAAGAGGATATTTAGAGAAGTAATAGCTGAAAGTTTCCCAAACACAAGATTGGAAACTGATATCAAGATCAATGAAGCATATAGAAATCCAAATAGCCATAACCAAAATAAATCTACACCCAGACATATAATAATGACCATCCCAGAAATTGAGCAAATGAATAGAATATTAAAAGCTGTCAGAGAGAAGAGACAGATCACCTATAAAGGAAAACATATCAGAATCACAGCAGACTTCTCAGAACAAACAATGAAGTCAAGAAGAGCATGCAGCAAAGTATTTCAGATCCTAAAGGAAAATGATTTCCAACCTAGACTGATGTACCCTGAAAAACTGTCCTTCAAAATCAATGGAGAAATAAGATACTTATATGACAAAGAAAAGCTGAAAAACTTCATGATCACCAAGCCAACTCTGCAAAGAATACTGAAAGACAGCCTAGATACATTTAGGGGAAAAGCACTAAACAAAACAGACAGTTAAAAAGAGCAGAAAGATAAAAATGCAACAGCAAAAAGATAACATGTCATCAATAAACCAATATATAACTGTTCTAACCATTAACGTAAATGGTCTCAATGGACCAATTAGATGAAACAGACAGGCAGAATGGATTAAGAAACAAAATCCAAACAAATGCTGTCTACAAGAAACCCATCTAAACACAAAAGGATATTCACAGACTGAAAGTGAAAGGATGGAAAACAATACTTCATGCAATAGGAACCAAAAAAAGGGGGGGGTAGCTATTCTGTTTGCAGGCAATGTGAACTTCAAGCCAATAATGATCAGAAGGGATAAAGAAGGTCACTACATACTGGTTAGGGGAAAACTCCAAGAGGAAGAGAAAACTATCTTAAATTCATATGCACCAAACTCCAGAGCACCCAGTTATATATAACAAGTACTAACAAAAATGAAAAATCAAATTAGCATTAACACAATTCTAACAGGAGATCTTAACACACCATTGACACCAATGGAAAGATCAACCAGACAGAAAATGAGCAAAGACATAAAAGACCTGAATCGCACCTGGGAACAAATGGACTTAACACATATACAGAGTATTCCTCCCAACAACAAGAGCATACACATTCTTCTCAGTATTACATGGGTCACTCTCTAAAATAGACAATATATTAATTCACAGAGCATATTTAAATAAATGCAAAAGGGTTGAAATTATCCCTTGCATGCTATCAGACCATACCACTATGAAATTAGAAATTAATGATAAGATACTGCAAAAATCCCACAAACACATGGAAACTGAATAACACTCTTGAGTAATCAGTGAGTCACAGAGGAAATTAAAAAATACCTACAAACAAATGGAAGCACAAGTACAATGCACCAGAATCTGTGTGATGCAATGAAAGCTGTCCTCTGAGGAAAATGTATTGCACGAGTTCCCACATTAGGAAAACAGAACGAATACAAATAACAACCTGATGTTATACCTCAAACATCTAGAAAAAGAAGATCAAGTCAAGCCCAAAGCCAAAAGAAGAGAAGAAATTATAAAAATCAGAGCAGAAATCAATGCAATAGAGACAAAAAAAATCCAAAAAATCAATGAATCAAAGACCTTGTTCTTTGAAAGAATAAATAAAATCGAAAAGCTCCTAGCCACCCTTATTTAAAAAATGAAAAAAAAAGTTCAAATCCATGCAATAAGGAATAAAAGATGTGAAATTACTACAGACCCTATTGAAATACAGAAGATCATCAACACCTATTTCAAAAACCTCTACTCTCAAAAGTTTTATAACACAGAAGAAATAGACAGATTCCTAAAGCATATGAAGTACCAAAGCTAGGTCATGAAGATGTAAAACTACTGAATAACCCAAATTCTATTAATTAAATTGAAAACATAATAAAATCATTACCTACAAAGAAGAGGCCAGGCCCAGACGGATTCACTGAAGAATTCTACAAGAAATACAAAGAAGACCTAATGCCAACACTCCTCAAACTCTTCATTGAAATCGAAAGGCAAGCAATCCTTCATAAATTGTTCCGAGAAGCAAATATTACTCTAGTACCAAAACCAGAGGAGGACCCAACTGAAAAAGAGAACTACAGACCAATCTCCCTAATGAACAAAGATGCAAAAATCCTCAATAAAATATTGGCAAATAGTATGCACCAAATCAACAAGAAGATCATATACCATGACCAAGTGGGATTCATCCCAGGCATGCAGATATTGTTTAATATATGTAAATCAATAAATGTAATACACCATTTCAATAGAGCCAAAAATTATAATCACATGATCATTACTATAGATGCAGAAAAAGTTTTTGATAAAGTCCAACATTCCTTTATGATAAGAACCTTGCAGAAAATTGGAATAGATGGTCCTTATCTCAATATAATTAAGGCTGACAATGACAAAACAACAGCTAGTACCATACTAAATGGTCAAAATCTGAAAGCCTTTACTTTAAAATCAGGCACAAGACAAGGATGTCCCTTATCACAGCTCCTATTTAATATAGTACTGGAAATACTGGGCAGAGCAATTAGAAAACAGAGAGAAATAAAAGGCATAAAGATAGGAAAAGAAGAAGTTAAATTATCATTATTTGCAGATATCTTGATATTTTATATAGAAGATCCCTGAAGTTCCATTGAAAGACTCCTAGATACAATAAATAAATTCAGTAATGTAGCTGGATACAGAATCAATACTCAAAAATCAATAGCATTCCTATACACTAACAACAAAGTCACACAGACAGAAATAAGAGAGGCCACACCCTTCACACTAGCAACCAAGAAAATGAAATATTTAGGAATTACTCTCACGAAAGAAGTGAAAGGCCTATACAGGGAAAATTATAACACACTGAAAAATGAAATTGAAAATGATCTCAGAAAATGGAAAGACATCCCTTGCTCATAGATAGGAAGAATAAATATTGTGAAAATGCCCATTTTTCCAAAACTGTTATACAGATGCAATGCAATCCCGATAAAAATACCATCAACATACCTCATAGAACTTGAGAAATCACCCCTAAAATTCATCTGGAATGAGAAGAAACCTAGAATAGCAAAGACAGTTAGAGGCAGCAAAAGCAAGGCAGGAAGTACCACAATCCCTGACTTGAAGTTATACTACAAAGCAACTGTAGTAAAATCAACATGGTACTGGAACCAAAACAGAGCCGAAGATCAATGGAATAGATGAGAAGATACAACCACAACTACAAACACACTCAAGTACCTTATTTTGATAAAGGGGCCAAACATGTTCACTGGAAGAATGACAGTCTCTTTAATAAATGGTGGTGAAAAACTGGCTCTCCATATGGCTAAAACTAAAACTAAAGCCATGCCTATCACCATGTACTAAAATAAAATCTAAATGGATCAAAGATCTAAATATTAAAACAGAAACACTAAATCTATTGGAAGACAAATTGGGTAAAAACCTTGAAGACATAGGAGTAGGTAGAGAATTGATGAACAGGACTCAAACCACATGGGAAATGCTTCGCAGAATCAATAATTGGGATCACCTCTTATTAAAAAGTTTCTGCACATCAAATGAAACCTCCAGTATAGTGAAAAGAAAGCCCACAAACTGGGAAAAAATCTTAGTGAACTGCCCCTCAGACAGAGGACTTCTGTCTAAAACATATAAAGCATTTTAAAAAAGGAGACCACCAAAATTCAAAGACCCAATCCAAAAATGAGCATCTGAGATGAATAAACAATTTTGAGTTGAAGAAATATAAATGACTAGTAAATACATGAAAAAATGTTCACCATCAATGGTCGTTAGAGAAATGCACATTAAAACCACACTGAGATTGCATCTCACTTCTGAAAGAATGGCCAAGATCAAGAAAACCACCAACAAATGTTGGAGACACTGTTGGGACAAAGGAACTCTCCTGCACTTTTGGTGGGAGTGTAGACTGGTACAACCATTGTGGAGCTCAGTGTGGAGATTTCTCAGAAAGCTGGGACTGGAAGCACCTTTTGACCCAGCTATTCTGCTTCTAGGCATATTAACAGAAGAACTGAAAGCATCATTCCACAGTGATATATGTGCACCCATTTTTATAGCAGCACAGTTTGTAATAGTCAGATCTTGGAAACAACCTAAGTGTCCATCAACTGAGGAATGGATAAAAAAGTTATGGTGTTTTTATACAATGGAGAACTACTCAGCTATAAAGAATGATCACATTGACATATAAATAAATGGACACAGACTGAGACCATACTCATTAGTGAAATAAATCAAACTCACATGTATAAATACCAAATATATTCCCTAGTATAAGAAATGATAATACATAGAAGTATGTGGTAATCACGATACCCAATCATATTGGTTTGAATCCATATAATGTTTTCACTCATTAAGTGCAATGGTTTTACCCTGCGTTTTTCGATTTTAGTACCAAAAATAGCTGTTCTGAAGAAAATAACACATCATAAAAGCTAGTGCTGATTTAATATCATCTCCTTTGGAACTCCCATCAAGTTGTTGTACATGTTTCCACTGAATTTAACATGTTGTATCTTAATATATTTTACTGTGATAGTATAAAAAATTTTTTTACAGGCAAAGAGATAATATAGAAATTGTTGTTCATTTTCTGTTAACTGGCTCTAAATACCCTGAATTCTTTCACGTCTTGAATGGCTTCACACTGTCTTGATGTGATTGATTCTATAGTATAGTATACGATTGATTCTTCTATAGTATAGTATCTTCTATAGTATAGTATGTGATTGATTCTTCGTATAGTATACGAAGTTATACTCAAATAAATCAAGGAAAGAGGCATTATGGTGACTAATATTATGTTAGATTACCTGGTGGTGAAACCAAATGATGCTTTAATTGTTCACTTCTGACCTGCGTTGTTCTATTACAATGTCTCTTTTATCTCGATCTCCACCCTTTTTAAAAAAATTATTCTATTTTTTTTCAATTAAAGGAAAACTAAATTAAAAAATAGTGGGATTTATAATAGTAACTTTTTATTTTCCTATTAACATGATTTTAACCCCAGTATTGCTCTCCCCATCTTGTTCTGCCTGATTTTACTATATTCTATTTTGTTTAATAGTATCAAGTTTGAGGGTATAGGCAACCACTTTGTAGGCAATAAGATTTAATATGATGCCCATTATGATTTGACTATTATCTTCTTTTGAAATTCTGTAAGGTCTCCAGTGTAGATTTTATTGGTCTTGTTCTGTACTGTTTTGATCAATTCTATTATACCTGATGATATAGGGAACTCTTTTTAAAAATACCAAGAGGCACAGTGGAAACCATTTTTGATCACCTGATATTCTATTTTTGCATCAAGTAGTATGCCCATCCTTATGTTCTAACCAACTCTGTTTTGTTAACTCACTTGAGGTTTTATTCTCTTCAAAAAAAAGTAATAAGAACTATGGGAGTAAAAAAAACCCCAAAAGTGTAATTGTTATTGTGAAGAAGAGAAGAAAGGAAGGTGGTCTAAGGGAAGTAGGTGCCTGTTTGAGTGTGTAGGAAGGAAAACCATATTACTGAGCTTTGTTGGATCATTGAACGGACCTGTTTGCAATCTCGCTGTAGGAATGTTCACTTTATATGCTTTAATTTTATAATTTTGACAACTGTTTCTAAGAAGACAATATGTAACCTATTAACTAGTGATTTCTTACTGTATTTTTTAATTGAAATTTTGTATCATTTGTACCCTTTTACTGCTTTGCTTTTTTATGTTCTTTTTTTCTCCTTAAATAAAAAAATTAAACCTGGAATTTATATCTTTTATTTATTTATTTTTTGGTACTGGGGATCAAACTGATGACCTCACACTTGCCAGGCAGGGGCTTAAGCCACTGAGCTAAATCCCCAGCCCCCCAATATATATGTGTCACATCTTATCATCTTCAGAGTAGTTGCCTCTACTCTTGGACTTGATACCAGCAATCATATCAAATGTGAATAAAATCAGTCAAGGCCAAATAACATTCAAACAAACTAGCTTAAAATAAGTTCAGTCGTTGTAAGACAATGTTAGTAATACAGGGTTTCAGTTTTAGTTAATAGGAAATTAAGGACAATTACCATCATGGTATAACCTGCCATTTTTGGGTTATCTCCCTGTGCCCTCAAATCTAATATGAGTAGACAAACCAGAACAAAATATAATCAAACTAAACAGAGCAACAGATCTACTGTAGCTTTTAAATCCTGATACACTTTTAACAAGTGCTCTGCCTTCTTTTTTTAGGCATTTCCTCACCTTTCTCCTTCTCAGGATACTATTATTCACTAGTGATATTAGTTTAGTCTCTTATGTTCAATTTCAGCATACATAAAAATAAAGATGTCTACTACGAAAAGAATGAGACACATTATGGTAATCATTATCAACTTCCCCAAAATCAGTCTTAAAGATCAAAAAAGCCTGCATCATCCTGTAATTATTTGATTAGCTCTATAATGTTCAGTATATATTCAATGCTTGTGAAGCTGCGAACAACTATTTTGAAGAAAACTAGAGACAGTAAGATAGAAAATGAACATCTCAGTGGACTTGCTTTGAAACCTGTGTTTCCTTAACTTGTTTCCTTATGAACTGTTCTGTTTTGTCATGTTTAATCTTACCGTCTTTAAGATAAAAAACAAGTTTGTAGAACAGATAAGCATATTAATACGTTTTTGTTGGATCACTGAGGTGAACTGTTTGCAATGTCATTATTTGAATATCACTTTGTATGCTTTAATTTTGTAACTTGAACAATTACTTCTAAGATGACAATATGTAACTAATCAACTAGTGATTTCTTATTGTTTATTTTTCAGACCTCTGTATTATTTCTACACTTTTTGGTTTTTTTCTTTAAATAAAAATAATTCACCAAAAATATAAAAATTAAGGTTTAAAGACAAAATATTAAGTAGATAGACACTATCCACATTTGAAAGTGAAAAGCCCATTTCAGTTTACCATGTTTAATTACAAGATGCCATGTTGAAGCACAAAGATACTTTAAAAAATCTAAAGAGGTATAACTGATTAACTGAAAACCATACAAAATATGTACTTGAGTAGAGCTCCACTTCAGATTTGTCATTTCTGGAAAATTTGTGAAGAAATATTGATATCAAACTTCTGTATTGATTATTTCTTCAGGTCTACTTGGAATTTTTAAAGTAAACTTAGATTTAAACTGTCTGAAGAGTGCTGATTTTTCTATATATTTAACAACAAACATGGATTGCCATATTTCTCACATTGTTCATGCACATAGGATCCAGTGAGTTCTTTCAGATATGTAACAATGATCATGTGTGCTGAGAGTATTCCCATAACACATAGGATTTATCTCTTGTGTGAGCTTCTTCACGTACTTCACTTATAATCTGGCTGCTGAAAGTGTCTCCACTTGCTTACTTAGCCAGTGGTTCTTCCCAGAGTGAATTCTTTCATGTGTTTTGCAATGACTGTATGTGGTAAAAGCTTTGCCACATTGTTATATACATAGGTTTTCTCACCAAAGTGGAGTCATTGATGTATTTTACAAAACCCATGTGTGGTGAAAGCTTTCCCACATTCTTCACATAAACAGGGTTTCTCAACATTTTAAATTTTTTCATGTATTGGACAATGAGCATTTCTGCTGAAACCTTTCCCACATTCCTTACATATATAAGTTTTCTGCCCAGGGTGAAGTTTTTCATGCATTATGCAATATGTACTTGTGCTCAAAAAATTCTCATGATGCTTGTATACACTGGTTCTACCTTGAGTGTGAACTTTCATGTTGCTTACAATGTCAAGGTTGGGTAAAAGCTTTCCCACATTGCTTACATATATAGGGTTTCTCTCCAGTGTGAATTCTTTCATGTTTCTTAAAATCTCCCCATGTGTTAAAAGCTTTCCCACATTGCTTACATACATAGGGTTTCTCTCCAGTGTGAATTCTTTCATGTATTTTACAATTTGCCCATGTGTTAAAAGCTTTCCCACATTGCTTACATACATATGGTTTCTCTCCAGTGTGAATTCTTTCATGAACCTTACAATATGCACGTGTGTTAAAAGCTTTCCCACATTGCTCACATAAATATGGTTTCTCTCCAGTGTGAATTCTTTCATGCTGCTTACAATTTCCATGTCGTGTAAAACCTTTCCCACATTCCTTACATACATAGGGTTTCTCTCCAGTGTGAATTCTTTCATGTTTCTTAAAAATTCCCCTTGTGTTAAAAGCTTTCCCACATTGCTTACATACATAGGGTTTCTCTCCAGTGTGAATTCTTTCATGTATTTTACAATTTGCCCGTGTGTTAAATGCTTTCCCACATTTCTTACATACATATGGTTTCACTCCAGTGTGAATTATTTCATGTTGCTTACACTGCCCAGATTTGGTGAACCCTTTTCCACATTGCTGACATACATAGGGTTTCTTTCCACTGCAATATTTTTCATGGATCTGAACATTGTGTTGTGTTTCTGTTTCTTTCACATTCACATTACCTTCTGCAGTACAAGGGAATACTTCTTTACACTGATTCCAAGATGTATGTCCATAGGATTTCCCTAGCTTGTCATTTCTGTAAAAAAACAAAATCACATATTGGATTGATAACCATATTACTAAGTTTTTATTGCAGTCTCACTGTTTGAATCCCCACATCATATATTTCACTTTTGTATTTCATTAACTATTTCTATGAGCAGCATATGTAATCACTGTCTTTAGATTTCTTACTGTTTATTTTCACTTTGAAAGTGGTATCATTTCTACTTATTATTTTTGTTAGTCTTTCCTTACATTAAACAAAAAAAAAAAGAAACACACAGTGAAATGGGTCTGAGTTTAATGATTGCATTAATGTCAAGTTCTGTTTTTAATGCCTGTTAAGAAACCATGAAGTAACAGATGGCCTTGTAAGACATGTTGAAAACAACCATTCCCAAAAGACTGGTACACATTTGGAAATCTTAAAATTTGGAACCTTTTGAAAGGCAGAATCTTTATCTTCACTTTGGGCATGGGTACATATATGTATCACATACAGATCATTATGATATGTTTCCCCATCACAATCTCCCTTCTGTCCTTAACCTGTAGTTCCCGTTTCCATATGGTCAGTCTTACTTTTCTCTATTAACTCTTTCATTTCATTCCACAATTAATATTTTGGTTTCTCATCTAAGAGAAACCCTGTGAACTTTTAAGTTTTATAGCTGAGCTATTTCACCGAATTGATGGGAGAAAGAACCACCTATTTCTTATGGCAAATGACATTATATTCTTTATTTTTTGACATTATATAACACATATTTTTCATGCTGGGAATGAACAACAGCTATTATCATAAAATCTATAGCTTTTTAAATCTGTTTTAAGAGATTTTCGCTGATCATTAAGCTTTGAAGTTTGAACTTGAATTTGCACTTCTGCAAAATCTGATTCCTAGTGTGCTGGATTTACAAGAATGCACAATCACAGAGAGTCTATTAACATTTTCCTTCTCCACAAATCCTGTCATCGATAGCTAAGCTTCTTTAAGGCCTGATCTATTATAACTTGATCTGCTTTGTATACGAGTAAGCATGTATCAGTATTTTAAGTGCATTTTGAATTTTTAAAAATATATCCAGGACAAGTATGAGGGGATCAATTTCTAGAGACAACTGCACACTGATATTCAGAATGAGTGCACTTAACATTCTACCATCCTTCTAAGCATTTTAGTCAAAATGGCTGATTCTTTAGAGCATGGCTTGGTAACACAAGAACTCCATTTTATTTCGAGTTCTATTGCAATCTAAGCAACTTTTAGATGATGAATGTGTTGTATTCACAGTATATATGGGTAGAAAAACTGAAGAGAGAATGTCATAACTCAAAGTGTATGCCTTTCATACACATCTATATGAAATGTCATACATTTTCTTGATTTAATCCACTCATTATACATACCCTAGCTTATACGTCTTTGGAGAATATTACTGACAATAAATTGAATGGTGCCTCATTTCTTTGGCGGTATTTTTCTGCTGACTCACTAATTACTTAGGAACATTCCTTCTCCTTAAGAGTGTGAATTACCTTAAGTATCTCCAGTAAATTTTGCATTCTTTTTCAGCTTCCTGGATATCCCCAAGGCCTCCTGAATTGTAGACATTGAAATACCAGCGCTCATTAGAATAATACATACAAATTAATAGATTTTGTTTAGAGTTATGATATAATGTGTCCAGGTGTGACCTATTTTTAAAAATATTTTCACATTGTTTTTAATGAAACAGCGACATACAACATTCTGACAGCATGAGTGACAAAAGTATTTTGTCATTACCTATTGTAGTCACGTTCCTAAAGGTTTCGCCCATCACATCTCTGTAGAGGTTCTTTTGGGATGGACTCAGCAAACCCCACTCCTCATTGCTGAAGTTCATGACCACATCCTCAAAGGTCACCACCTCCTAAAGGATCATACATATATTTCTCACATGAAGTTTGAGACACCAGGTTTGGGATATCTTAAATTCTCTCCTACAAATCTGAATCAAAAGCAAATTGTGGTGGTATATATCTATAATGCCAGCACTCAAAAGGCTGAGGCAGGATGGTTTCAGTGAGTTCAGGTCAATTCTAGGCCCTGAACTCAAAAGGCTGAGGCAGGATGGTTTCAGTGAATTCAGGGCAATTCTAGGGTGTTCAAATCTAGCTGATATACATATAGAAAGCTTGTCTCAATAAAACAAAACAAAACTAAACAAATAAAACCAAACAAAACAGCTGAATGAAGACTGATTTCTTCAAATTTAAATCCATGTCTTGGTCATTAATTTTGTGTATATACACGTTTTGAAGACAGCAAATTTGATGATAGATTGCAACTCACTGCTAATGTAACAGTCAAATAGGAGCACTGATTCTTGTGCTGAGTCACTGCAATATTCCCTGTGTACTGTCTCTAATGCAGAGCTCACAGTGAGAAGCCTGCAGGACCAGCATCCACAAAGCACAGAGGTAGATAAATATTCCATGAATCAACTGGGAAGCCAAGCAAGCACCTCCCTTCCCTGGTAAGTGGTGGTGGTGTGGCGGACTGTGGCCCATCAAGGGGGCAAACCAGCAGCAGCTCCTGAGATCCATGCCATGCTGGAATTTAGGACACTTGGAAGGCAAGCAATCACCACTTCTCCCTGGTAAGTGGTGGAGGTCTGGCAGAATGAGGCCCTTCCAGGGGGAGGACCAGCAGCAGCTCCTGAGATCCGCGCCATGTGGGAACTTAGGATGCTGTGAAACCAAACAACCAGCCTGTCTCCCTACTAAGCAATAGTGAACCTACTGATGCACAGCCTAGAATCAAACATCCCACTTCCCTACCCCTCTTCTCCTGTCACATCCCCTTCCCCCCCCCCCCGTTATCAAATGGGAACCAGAAATCTGAGCGACTCCTGGGAAGCAGACGATAACAAATAAGGGGGACTTCCTTCTACTGTCTCTTTGAAGGCAAATATTTTTATTACTGTTTTGCTCTTTTCTGATTAATGGTATTGCTCTATTCAATACTCTGTTTTGATAAGTACTATAATGTTCTGTATTTCATCTCATTTTGATATACGTGTTTGAAAGAACAACTACTGGGGCTGGGGATTTAGCTCAGCGGCATAAGCACCTGCCTTGCAAGCAGACAGTCGTGGGCTCAATCCCCGGTACTGATAAAAAGGAAAAAGACAAAAAAAAAAAAAAAGAACAACTATTATAAAGATAATAAAATATACTGTGATACCTATTACTGTTATCGCAGTAACCAGTTGTGAAGTTGTGTGCCAATTTCACTGTATGATCTTAGTTGGCCTTATTCTGTCTTGTTCTGTTGTATTTTACCACTTTCAATATTTAAAAAAAGAAAAAAAAAACTCATCAATCACTTTCATAGGCTGCAGATAATGTCTCTTCAAATCTCATTTAGGCCAGTGAGTACTTTGTTCTTAATATACTTCAGCAGCATTTTGAAACATGAATTTGGTTTCATAGAACAAAACATAAATAACATCCAATATGGTACACAAATAATAACTCAAATGTTAGTGGAAAATGCTGTTTTTAAAAAATAAGTATATAAAATGGAACCAGGCCCTAGCTGTAGTTTATAGCTCACTGTCACCAAGCATTCACTTTCAATTCAGATATAAGGAATATATCTTGTGAGGCTGGTGAAGGACTTCTTCCTTTAATTTGGGGCTATCCTAAGTAACAGAGCTGTCTAAAATAGAGAAACCCTGACTGTGACACCCCACAGACAAAGTGAATCTTAAAAAGAGACTGAATAAGACACCTTTGGTTTGTTTTTTAAAAATTATAGCCATATAATATGGAAAAATTCCAAAAATATTCAACACTTTCTGGGAAACAATGTGGATATCTTCCATACAACAAAGAAAACACCTTCATAGTTGGGTATTTAGCTCAGTGGCATGAACGCCTGCCTGGAAAGCATAGGTCATGTGTTCGATCCTTGGTACAAAAAAAAATCCACATTTTACCTTCATGACACTGGGGCATAATTAGAGATAATCCAAATTAGATCTCAAGTATGGAACAGAAAATTCATGGGTTGGCAAGTATGTGAAATACTGACTGTTGCCAGAGCTGGTGTTGGTCACCTCAAGGAAGCAATCAGAACCCAAATTTAGCTTCACACTTACTCTACGAACTACCTGAATTTCAGTGAAGACCCTCTCTGTTGTATGTCCTGCTATTGGCTTCCTGAATCCTGTCAGTCACTTGCACATCCTTTCCACATGCCTCTGATCCATCCTCAGCAGGAACCCCTTCATGCCTAACTATTGATACCACTGCAAAATTTCTGTTTAGAGCTTCTCCTTTACACCACTTAGTAAATTCCATTGCAGAGCATTTCCATATTTAAACTATGAACAACCAAGCCACTAAATCAGCTGTTAATTCAGAGATGGCACACCTTTTCTTTTCCATTCAGAAGGAAATCACGTGTATATGTCCATGCAAATGCCTAAATTTCAGCATTTTTGATGAGAATTTAACAGGTAGCCCTTTCTGGGATTTGTCCTTCACAAATTTTTACCCCGTCCTTGATAACACTTTCATATTTCCTTCATTTTTCTCAGACTTCAAAACTCTATGGCTGTTCTCACAAACCTAGTCTGTGAGGAAGGGTGCCACCTAAATAATTAAGTATGTTCAGAAATTATTTTGCACTGATCTTTATAATACACAGGAGTTCACGACTTCTTTGGGAAGCCTTTTTCCACTGAGGCACACTACTGCACATCTCTGCATTCTCAGGAAGTTTGCCACTACCTGTCATGAGGATGGAAATATGAGAACATAGTATAAATTGAGGAGATCACTATAAATACAAAAAAGCCCAAGTTTAAGTTGAGCCCTTGTGGCTATGAGGCCCTGCATTACAGACATTAATAAACTCCGGACATTCTAGATCTGCTACTCTGAGGAAAGGGAGCAGAGACCTAGCTCATTACTGATCTACAAGCTACAAAAAGCATCATAGTCAGGGTCTTCCCAAGCTCCTTCCAGTGCCTAAGATGGTGGAGTTACCAGGCTAGCAATGAATTTCAAAGATGATACTTGAGTCTACTGCTGTCATAGTGAAGCCAGGGTACTTGGGACCCCTAATCACCCTTGCCAACAGCAAGAGACAAAAGGGAGAGTGAATGACCCATGGTCAATGCTGGAAGACCTCAGGAGCTGAAGCTAACTAAATACCTGGGGCTCCAGACACCGGAACTACTCCTAAATACTTGTAACTGGTTTCACCCAATCCACCCTACTTCTGGGCTCCCATCCACAAACTCACTATTCCATGGTTCCAGGATCTCACAGGATCTTTGCTAATCAGGCCACAGGACATCAAAAGTACTAAATGAGATCCAGCAAGCATTTTGGTACCAGTATAATACTCAGAACAGATAAATCATCCTGAGACACTGGAAGAGACAGAAGTCACAGCCAGCAATGCCTCACCTGATTGGACAGTTCATATAGCCTGCCTCTTCATCACTGATTGACTCCTGCTCTACTGCCTTCCTTCTGAGTCAACAATATACAGGGAAAGGAACCCCTTCTTGCAAGAGAGGATCCCAAATGATAGATTGTAGTGCAGAGACTTCTGGAGCTGCCATTCTTCTACAGTGGTGAACTGAGCTAGACAGAAGAGTGTTTGTACTGAAGAGCATTACCTGAGGCTTTTAATTTTCAAATCCATTTTATTTCAAGGAAAAAAGAGCACATCAACTAAAATTGAATTTCAAAACATGTGAATCAGAGGGCAACACTGGTATATACATTGCACATTGTCATCCCCAGATCATTCACCCAGAGCACAAGACATCTCTAATCAATTTTCAAAAAAGTACTGTTACAGGCACCTGAGTTACTTAAATACTCTTGACATGAACCAAGGCTAGGTCCTCCAAGGAGCCCATGCAGGAGACCAGATACCTTGCAACTATGGGGAAGACTGACACCTCATGCTATGGGCCAAGGCTCAAGACAATGATAAACAAATTCATCCATATTCTAAGGATAGATATTCTAAATAGTTCCCTAGCACTCTGAGGAAGTTAGGAGTCACCATTCAAAGAAATGTATCCTTATCCTAAAGACTGTCATTCTAAATAGTTCCCGTCATACTGAGGAACTCAGAAGTCACCCTCCCAAACCCCTAAAGGAAGAGTCACAGCTGCCTAAGAATGCCTGCTTTCTATGTGACTCCCTTCCCCCTTTGTTCCCAATTTAATCAGCTTTACCTGAACTTAATAATCCTATTGGGTACCATAGCTCTGACCCATCTTATGCCCATCTGCATTGTGAGTTCCTAGTTTTCCCCACCTTAAACTCATTTCACCACATGATTTTACTCTATAAAGGTCCCTAGAAAGGACAGTGTTTGGCAATCTGCTCAGGACCCCTTATCTCTCTCAGGCAGCTTTCTTTCTCTCAATAAGTACATTCTTTATTTTGATTTCTTCATTCCAATCAAAGGATATACTTCAAAGTGTTTTACCCTAGAAACAATTACAAGACCTCATGGTGGTAGTTCAAAGTGGAAGAAGGTGAAATCAGGGATGCTTACTCATATGGCCACTTCCTCTATTCTCCTTAATTACAATTTCCTCTTTCTTTCCCAGGGGCCTAATGAAAATTCCCATCAGCTCTCATATGACATCAATCTCCCCTCAAGCACCACATCCAGTCAAAATCCACATATACCCCATAACCCCATAGTCAGTTGGAAAAAAAAAAGCCAAACCCTTAGGGGCTGTGGGCTCCTCTCCACATTCTTTAAGTAAAAGGCCACTTTTACATTTCTTATATTCTGCTTCTCTACTGTGCTAATTTATCTCCTCAGTAACTTCAGTAATCTAATCCATTTTAAACCTATCTCACCACACAATTTTATTCT